TGGGCCTCGTCCACCATGGTGATGCTGTGGGGACACCATGGGGACATCATGGGGACATGGGAACGTCATGGGAACATCTGGAGAACATCATGGGAACACCTAGAGAACATCATGGGAATGGCTGTGGGGACACGTCGGTGTGCAGGGTGCGCTCGTGGGCCTCGTCCACCGTGATGACGCTGCGGGGACATCGTGGGGACATCGTGGGGACATGGGGATGTGATGGGAACGTCATGGGAACATCTGGAGAACGTCATGGGAACATCTGGAGAACTTCATGGGGACACCCTGGGGACACGTCGGTGTGCAGGGTGCGCTCATGGGCCTCATCCATCATGATGACGCTGCAGGGACACCATGGGGACATCGTGGGGACATGGGAACGTCATAGGAACGTCATGGGAACATCTGGAGAACGTCATGGGAATGGCCATGGGGAAACGTCGGTGTGCAGGGTGCGCTTGTGGGCCTCGTCCACCACGATGACGCTGCGGGGACACCATGGGGACACCATGGGGACACCACGGGGACACCGTGGGGACACCACGGGGACGCGTGTCACCTGTAGGAGGCCAGGTCGGGCTCGGTGAGGAACTCCCGCAGCAGCATCCCGTCCGTCATGTACTTGAGCACCGTGCGCTCCGACGTGCAGTCCTCGAAGCGGATGCTGTAGCCCACCTGGGGACACGGACATTGTCCCCGGGGTCCCCAAGGGCCCCAGGGACCCCTTGGGGACAGGAACATGGTCCTGGTGTCCCCAACAGCCCCATGGACCCCCTGGGGACAGGGAGGTGTCCCTGGTGTCCCCAGGGCCCTCCCAACCACCCCATGGCCCCCCGCGTCCCTCGGGGTCCCCAACATGTCCCCAGGGCCCCTCAATGTCCCCGGGATGGGGACATGTCCCCGAGGTCCCCAACGCCCCCCCAACCATGGGGACATTGGGGACCAGCAGGACGAGGACGTGGCCCCCATGTCCTTGGTGTCCCCAGTGTCCCCAGTGTCCCATGGGCACTGGTGTCCCTGGTGTCCCCCATGTCCTCATTGTCCCCATTGTCCCCGTGTCCCCCATGTCCCCATTGTCCCCGATGTCCCCAGTGTTCCCCATGTCCCCCGTGTCCCCATTGTCCCTGATGTCCCCAATGTCCCTGATGTCCTCAGTGTCCCCTGTGTCCCCACTGCCCCATTGCCCCTGGTGTCCCCGGTGTCCCCATGTCCCCGGTGTCCCCCACGTCCCTGGTGTTGTCCCCGGTGTCCCCATATCCTCATTGTCCCCAATGTCCCCTATTGTGCCTGGTGTCCCCATGTCCCCAATGTCCCCCATGTCCCCGGTGTTGTCCCTGTTGTCCCCGGTGTCCCCATGTCCCCGGTGTCCCCCCGTTGTCCTGATGTCCCCAGGTCCCGGTGTCCCCATGTCCCCGGTGTTGTCCTGGTGTCCCCATGTGCCGGTGTTGTCCCCATTGTCCCTATGTCCCCAGTGTTGTCCCTGTTGTCCCCAGTGTCCCCATGTCCCAGTGTCCCGGTGTCCCCATGTCCTGGTGTTGTCCCC